TATTCTCTTAACAATGTTATTCTCAGAGGATACATTTTTAATTTTGTTGAAATCCAATTTGTAAATTTTTTCTTTTATTTATCTTACTTTTGATGTCATATCTAAGAATGATTTGCCAATTCAAACTGATAAAGATTTTCTCCTACATTTTCTTCTAAGATTTTTATAGTTGTACATTTACATATAGATCTATGATCCATTTTGAGTTAAATTTTGTATATGTTATGAGGTGTAGTGGTGTAGTATGTCCAGTTATTTTGGCACTATTCATTGAAGATTTTATTTTCTCCATTGAATTACCATTGTATCTTTGTATAAAAATCAGTTGAGTATCTTTATATGGGTCTACTTCTGTGTTTTATTTTTTATTCTGTTCCATTGGTTTATGGGTCTATCCTTTTGCTAATACCACACTGTCTTGACTATGTAGCTTTACAGTATGTCTTAAAATGGGACAGTTTGACACCTTCACTTTTTTTTCAGAATTGTTTTGGCTATCTAGTTCCTTTAGTTCCATTACTTTTCCACATAACTTTTAGTGTCAGCTTGTCTATCTCTAATTAGGATTACATTAAACCTGCCTATCAATTTGGGGAGTATTGACATCTTAACTATATCGAGTCTTCTGATCCATAAGCATAGCATGTATCTCTGTTTATTTGGATCTTCCATGGTCTTTCTCATCAGTGTTTTGTAAGTTTCAGCATACAGATATTGTATATGATTTATATCTAGTTTTTTAATTTCTTGGCATTATTGTAAATTGTGTTTTTGATTTTGGTTTCCCAGTTGTGCATTGCTAGTGTATAGAAACACAACTGATGTTTGTGCATTGAGCCTATGTGCTGTGAACTTGCTAAACTCACTCATTAGTTCTAGGAGTTTTTGTAGATTCTTTACATTATCTATGTAGACAATCACGTCATCTACAAATAGATAGTTTTACTTCTTTTCCAATTTGAGTGACTTTTTATTTCCTTTGTAGCTCTATTTCATGTTTAAGACTTTCATTATGAAATGGGATAGGAGCCATATGAGAGATTATATGAAGTTGTGGTTAATAGATGAAATAACTACTGGTAAATAGTGAAGACTTATCAGGCCAGTTTAGGTTGGAGGTCACAAATGTGTGTTATTTGTAGTCATTTTCAATCAGTATTTATAATCAGTTGTGTTATTTTTGTAGTAGTTCTCAGCAGCCTGGGTGTAGAAATGGAGAAGACAGACAGCTGGATTGAATCTGGAATTTAGATTTTTGCTGGCTAAGGCAATGGAGTTAGGGAGAAAAGAATATTGACAAGAGAGAGGTTGAAGTGTTAAGGCTTGATAGAGAAGGAAGTAACCTATGTAAAATATTTGTTGTTACTAATATTTTTGGTATAATTCCTTTCAGTGTTTTCCTTCCTATGTAGATACATTTTAATACTTGAAAGTGTTAAAATTAAAATTAAACATGTAATTTTATAATGTTTTCAAGGTTCATTGCATGTTGTAGCATGTATTCTTTTGGTTGCCAAATAGCATTCCATTGTATGGATATACCACATTTTATTTATCTATTCATCAGTAGATGGATATTAGAGTTATTTCCACTTCTTAGCTATTATGAATAATGTTGCTGTGAACATTTATGTAGTAGATTTTTTTGGATATATGTTTTCATTTCTCTTGGTTATATACTGAGGAGTGGAATTACTAGGGCATATGGTAATGCTATATATAACATATTGAAGGACAGCCAAACTGTTTTCCAAAGTAATTGCACCATTTTACACTCCCACCAGAAGTGTATGAGGGTTCCAACTTCTCCACGTCCTCACCAACACTTCTTATTATCTGTCTTTTGTATTATAGCCATCATAGTAGATATTACACGGTATCTCACAGTTTTGATTTGCATTCCCTAATGGCTAATGATGTTACGCATCTTTTCATGTGCTTATTGATCATTTTGATATGGAGAAATGTCTATCCAGACACTTTACCTATTAAAAATATTGGATTTTCTTTTGAATATAGAATTGTAAGAGTTCTTTATATATTCTGCATTCAAGTCTCCTATCAAATATTTGATTTATAAATGTTTTCTCCCAGAAGACCACATATCATATGATTCTCGGAATCATGGATTATATGTAATGTCCAGAATAGGCAAATCTATAGAAACAGAAAGTAGATTAGTAGTTTCCTAGGGGTGGGAGTGGAGGAATGGGGAGTGACTGCTAATGAATATGGGGTTTCTTTTTGGGGCAATAACAGTATTGCAAAACTGATTGTGGTGATGGTTGCATAAATGTGAATATCCTAAAAACTACTGAATTGTACACTGTAAAAAGTCAAATTATATGGTATATGAATTGTATCTCAATAAAACTGATTAAAGTGTACTTTTAGAATTAAACTGCACTGATACAGCTTTTTCACATAACCTTATTAATTATTCTTCAAAATAATTAGTTGTACATAGTTCATCATAATGATTTAGTAATTTATTTCACCACTCCTCTATTGTTAGATATTTAGTTTTGTTTCCAATATTCTGCTATTATAATAAGTTGATGATGAATAGTTACACAGATCTTTGATTATTTCATTAAAATATATTCCCAAAATGGAGTTATCAGATAAAATTGCATGAACAATTTAAGGTTTTTATATGTTATATATTTTGCCCTCAAAAATTATCTGTGAATTTAACCTAACATCAGCAATATATAAAAGCACCTGTTTCAACATATTCTTGCCAACATTAGGTACTCCAACTTACAGGAATTGGCTGCTTTAGTAGGCAAAAATTGAAATTTTGAGTTATTTTAATTTGCATTTCTTTCTAGTGAAGCTGAATAATTTTCATGTTTATTCTTCATTTTAACTTTTATTTTGTTGATTGTTTTCAACCTTTGCATATTTTCTGACTGCTGTGTTCTTTTTCTTACTGATTTACAAGATCTTTGCAAATACAGAATGTTAAATTCTGTGTGTTATATATTTTGCAAATGTTTCTCCAAGTTTTCTTTGCATTTTGAAGAAAATATCACCTAGAATCAGTGCTTTTTTGTGTAAAATTTATGGCAATAAATTTATTTTTCATATATAAAAAGTAGAGACAAAGTGAAAAAATGTTAGCATTTATTAATTCTAATTTGTATATAGATGGGTATTCACTTTATCTTTTATACTTTTCTTTAATTTTAAAACTTTTCAGAAGAAAACAAAGGAAAATATGTATAAAATATGTACTAAATTTAGACATACATAACTTATTCAACCATTCTCCTATTGGTAGACATTCAAGTTGTTTTCCATTTAGAGCTTTTACAAACACCACTGCAGTAATTATATACATTAAAACTCTTCCCTCCTGTATTCCCAAACATTTTTCTATTATTATTAAAATATGACTGTTGTTCCCACAAAATTAATCACTTAATTTATTTGAACAGAATGCCCTGGGAAGCATTGCTTAAAGGCAATTTTGCTTATTGAGGGAATCATATCAAAATATATTTTATGTCTTAATATTTACCCAAGATATTCTGAATAAAAGGGTTACTTTGTCATATAGGTTTGGAAAAAACTTATTCCACTTTTGGGGATTCACAGAGTTCCTTAGTGTATTATAAATCTTGACAAGTACTGCACTAAATATAAGGTTCCATGATCTGCACACAAGAAAATAAGGTCAAGTAAGTTCAGAGGTCTACTACATCCTCATCTTGGAAGTCACAAAACTCATTAGCATCATTCTTATTCTAAAGACAACTCTCTAATTTTGATACAAGGTTTCTTAATTTCACCAGAGAACTTTTCTTCCCTTTAACATTTGTTAACATGTAAAATGTCAAATAAGAAAATGAGAGATAAGCACCATGGATAACTGAAATCTAGATACTACTACCATACACTGTCTTATTTAAACATCACACATTTTATTGGGGCTTTGGATAAGAAGACAAATTTAATTCTTCCTTCTTTTTAACCTTTAATTATAAGTGAAGGTGCACAGTAAATATCCCAAGTCAGGTTTTTAAATGTAGTGCTATAGTGGAAAGGGCATGATCTTTCCCTTTCCCCAGACAGTCTTGGGTTGCAATCTTAGGTTATCCACTTACTAGCTAGATATGTGGTTTAACTTCTCTGGATTTCAATTTTCTCATAAGTAAAATGGGAATACTAACAGTCACCTCACAGAGTTGATGTGAGGATTAAATGAGATAATATATATCAAGTACACAGCAAAGTGGCTGGCATATACAAGGTCTTAGTATCTATACTGATACACAGAAGGGGTCTGGAAGGGAAAGAAATGAAGACTTGAGAACCTACAGATTAATATGTTCCTGAATTATTGCCAGCTTTTTCATGGAAATAGAATTGAAAGGGTTATCAGATCAGAGCTTCGAGCTCCACAGTATTTCTATTACTAAAAATTTCCTTTTAATACTGAATTGCCTTGGGTTTATTTACCTGTGAATGTTGCAAAAAGAAGGCTGTTTAGCTTTTCACTAGACCAAAGAGAATCCAATGTATAAGGCTGCCTACCACTGATAAACAAATTAGTAGCATTTTGGGAGAGTTGGAGTATAAGGACAGTGCTTTTTGCCCGTGAGTGGGTAAGAGTAGGTTATTAACTGACATAATGGAGTCAGGCAAAAAGAACCTATTTGTAATCTATATCATTTCAGAGACCCAAAATGCACCAGGACATGGATTATAATTCATAATCTGAAGGTAAATAACCCAAACAAGATGTTTGGCTGTTCCTGGATATGTAGGTCTTTTAGCCAAAGTGAATAGTGTGAGTTTGTAGGGAGTAAGGGCATTTTTTCCAGTACATTAAACAGGGAAATTATGTATAGAACTTCTGTTTATATGAATAATACAAGAATGAAAAAGTTAACATCTTGTTTGCCAAGGTGAGAACTTACTCTTTTCTAGCTCTCAGAACTGACTCTTAGCAGTCCAGGCAGCGCTCTATGTGCATCTGTCAGAATACTGACCTTTTCGAGAGATGCAGGAAGTGTGAAAAGTGCTATGTTTCTGTTTCCACAGCAAGAGATGATGTTCCTTCCGCATAATCTGTAAGGTTGAAATATGATGGTGATCAAATGTCCATTTCTCTTGTATGGGTGGGTATTCATTCATTGGCATATTTTCTTCATGTACAATTCCCAAAGGCGGCGGACATCTGCAAATATCTAAAGACTGATGTGCTATAGTGAAGCATTTGTAATCATTCCAGGTATTCCCATTCCATAGTCAACCTGCTGTACTATGAACTAAAATCATTTTATTTATCCACATTATCTGATCTATAATAGTGGCTAACATTTGATTTAAATAGCTGTGATGACAGCTCAACATCACTTGGCTTTAATGGAATGTTTAGGGTCTTGCTACTCACAAAGTTACTTTGTCTTGTTATTACATTGGACATAACTGAGATAGTTGTTGTAGTAGTTTAGGTGTTGGTGTGTTTCTAAAAAGGAATGCTGTATCTAGACAATAAGAGACTTTGGAATTAACAAGAAACATCATTTATGGTACAATTGTTCTTGTTTCCAATCAACAGGCTTTTAGGGAGCAAGGTACACTCTGAATCAGCTTGCTTAATGTACAGATAATCACTTTCTTTATATTCCTTGCAGAATAATGTTCTTGACATTTTGAGATTAAGAAAAGCTGACAGTGGTTGTCCTTTACAGTTTCTGCTTAGTACATTCTCCTTTATGAAATCAATGTGCTATTCAGAGTGTTCCTATAAGTGTGAGGTCTGGATCCCAGTGGATAGAGGCCAGCCAGGGCAGGGTGGGTTACCCTTGCCATAGCAGGCTGGTAAACTCTCAAGCCACTGGGTTAACCAGGCAGATTACAGAGACAAAGCTGCTTTCTTCCAGGAAGAGTGGAAAAGTAAAAGGTGGCTCTAAGAATATCTGTCTTTGGAATCATGGCTCTGTGGTAGGCATAACATTCTGTTTTGCTTGGAATCCTGGACTTAGGGCATTTTTGCCCTTAAGTCTGAACAGAGAGCAGTTGTATTGGCCCAGCTCTTCAGCCATCAAACAACTCAAAGAGAAAAAGAGGCAGCAAGTGCTTGAGCATACATCTCATCTTACTGATACACTTCTACCAAGAAAGTGATCGATAAGTGTAAAAGGCAATTCTGGAATTTCAAAGCACTATTTGCCTTGCTGTTTCTTCCTGATGGTTGGCTGTCTCAGAACTTTGTAGGTATGGTTTGGCAATGCTCCTTTTCAGAAACTGGCATTTAGTATTCTGCTAAATGGGTTTCTTTTACTCTTTACCACTGTAATCCACACTCATATTTGGCCCAGAACACTTCCTCCCAGGAATTATTTGAATTAAAATGAAGCTTGCAGACATTGAGCTGAAAAACTCAATGATCAACTTCTTTCGTGGTTTCACTTCTGGAGGACACTATGCTAAGGCTTCAAAGGTAGAGTCATCACCTGGCGAGGACTAAACTGAAAGAATGCAGATACTTCAAAAAATCAGGGTCTGCATAATCGGAGACAAATGCAGAATTTAGAAAAACAATTTATTTCTCCTTCTACCATTTGCACCTATACTGCTTTCACCACCCCCACCTGCTGTTTTTGCCTGTGCTGCAGTGTTTACTTGAACCAAGAATGATGTCATTTTAGTCTTAGTGTATACTGGCTCAGCTCTGGTTCTCCTCTTGTCTTGTCCTAGATCTCTTCTCTTCCTTTAAAATCCTATGTTTCCACATAAACCTTTGATACCATGGGAAGTGACCATAACAGTATATGAACACTTCTTTGTAGCCATTGGTTCTCAGAGATTGGGAAGAGTAGGCAAATGGACACAATGTGGAATCTCAAAGAATTTAGGTTGAGTTGTGACTGCTTTATTGCCTCATATAAGTGACATTACCCCCTTAGCCCCAGCTTTTTCATTTGTAAAACAGGGCAATACTTTCATTCACAGTATTTTTGTGATGCTCTTCCCTGAATTATGTGTCCTCTTAAGTTTTATTCTTGCCCTCTGACTTTCTTTTTTCCATTCATTTCCTTGTCCACATGGATGCATGTCAGCATTGCTTAGGTGATTCCAAATTTTACATTTTATTTCCTTTCCCTGGCTTTATTCTCTCCTTTAATTCTCTCTTGTACCTCTCATGGGCTTAACTGCCATCTCTATATGAATGACTCCCAGATCTCTCTAGTCTCTGGGACTATTTCCAGTTATTTAAAATGTCTTCTGGCTTTAATCCTTCCTCTCCATTTCTAATGTTACCATCACTCCTGAAACCACTGTGACATATGGTCAACTATCTACTGCTCTTTCCCACATCTCCAAATTTCAATCCATCCTATACACTAGTACCTGAGTAATCTTTCCAAAATTTCTCTTTCATTACATCAATATGACTCAAGACCATAAAATTAATAGCTATTTCCTACTGTAGCAAATCTACAAAGTCCTCTACTATCTGGCCATATCTTCTCTAAGATTACTGCTCACAACCCACAACACCTACCCAGTACGTAAGAATGGACGGCTTCCTCAGTGTTCTTACCACTGTCAAGTCATACTTCTTACATGGAATGCAATGTCCGTCTTCTTAGCATCTATCCAGATGTTACTCATCCTAATAACATCTAGCTAAAGTCCTGCTGCTTCTTCAAAACTTTCACCACTATAGCCCGTACAATTTCCCCCTTTACTGACATATGGAGTGTTTAAGCATCATTAACAATCACACACTTACCATGTGTACCATATAGTACTTAGCACAGGGCTAAAGATTACATTAGGTATGTAATTGATAACATCACTTCTATGGCAATAGCACATTAAATCTTGTCTTAGACTTGTGTGGTTTTTGTCTCCTTCCCTACAATTGCAAATTCTTTGAGAGTAAAGGCCGCCTTTTATTTATCTTTATATCCCACCAGAGTACCTTGTCTGAGGTGTACTTCAGGAAATACTGTCTGAATTGAACTAGTTGTTTGGAGACCTGGAATATTTGGTACACGTGTCAATTCAGGGCTCAGGGTTGGCAATGCAGGTAGAGCAGTAAAATGAACATCTATTACAAGATTAACATACAGAAGTCAGTTGCATTTTTTCACATCAGCAAAGAAATATCAGAAAATGAAACTAAAAAAAAATCCCTTTTAAAATCACATAAAAAATACTTAGGAAAAAACCTGACCAAGGAGGTAAAAGACTTATACTTGGGGAACTACAAAACACTGACTAAGGAAATTAAAGATAATTTAAAGAAATAGAAAGATATCCCATACTCTTGGACTGGAAGAATTAATATTGTTAAAATGGCCACATTGCCCAAAGCAATCTACAGATTTAATATAATCCCTATCAAATTACCCCAGACATTTTTCACAAAACTAGAAAAAGTAATCCTAAAATTTATATGGAATCACAGAAGATCCAAAATTGCCAAAGCAATACTGAAGAAAAAGAATGAGGTTAGAAGAATAACCCTCCAAGACTTCAGGAAATAATACAGAACTACAGTAATCAAAACAGTGTGGTATTGGCACAAAAACAGACATAAAGGATCAATGGAAAAGAATAGAGAGCCCAGAAAAAAACCCACACACTTACAGTCAATTAATCTTTGACAAAGACGGCAAGAAAAACCATGGAGAAAAGATAGTCTCTTTACAAGGGGTGTTGGGAAACTGGACAGCCACATGTACATCAATGAAATTAGATCACTCCCTCACACCATACACAAAAATAAACTCAAAATATCATAAAGACTTAAATATAAGACAAGACACTATAAAACTCCTAGAAAAAAACATAGTCATAAGCAAAACAAAATGACAACCTAAGGAATGGGAGAAAATATTTTCAAATAATGCAACTGACAAAGGCTTAATTTCCAGAATATATAAATAGATCATACAACTTAATAACAAAATACAACCCAATCGAAAAATGGGCAGAAGGACCTAAACAAGCAGTTCTCCAATGAAGACATACGAATGGTCAATAGGTATGTGAAAAAATGCTCAATATCACTAATTATCAGAGAAATGCAAATCAAAACTACAATGAAGTATCACCTCACACCATTCAGAATGGCCATCATTCAAAAGTCCACTAACGATAAATACTGGAGAGGCTGTGGAGAAAAAGGAATCTTCCTACACTGCTGGTGGGAATGCAGTTTGATGCAGACATTATGGAAAGCAGTATGGAGATTCCTCAAAAGACTAGGATTAGATTTACCATTCAATCCAACAATCCCACTCCTGGGTATATATCCAGAGGGAACTCTAATGTGAAAAGATACATGCACCCCAATGTTTATAGCAGCGATATATACAATAGCCAAGACATAGAAGCAACCTAAATGTCCATCAACAGATGACTGGACAAAGAAGTTGTGGAATATTTACACAAGGTAATACTACTCTGTCATAAAAAAGAATAAAACAATGCCATTTGCAGCAACATGGATGGTCTTGGAGAATGTCATTCTAAGTGAAGTAAGCAAGAAAAAGAAAGAAAAATGCCACATGATATCACTCATATTTGGAATCTGAAAAAAAAGGGACACTATGAATTCATCTACAAAACAGAAACAGATTTGTAGACTTAGTAAACAATCTTATGGTTACTGGGGAAAGGGTGTGGGAAGGGATAAATTTGGGAGTTTGAGATTTACAAGTGTTAGCCACTATACATAAAAATAGATTTTAAAAAAGGTTCCTCTATATAGCACCAGGAACTATGTTCAATATCTTGTAATAACTTCTAGTGGAAAATATGTGAATGTATGCATGTATATGCATAACTGGGATATTGTGCTGTACACTATAGATTGATACATTGTAGCTGACTGTACTTCAATTAAACATAAATAAATAAATAAGACCCCCTCAAAAAAAAGAAATTATAGGCAAAATATTTTCTCACATAAATCTTAGCAATGTTCTCCTAGGGTAGTCTCCAGGCAACAGAAATAAAAGCAAAAATAAACAAATGGGACCTAATTAAACTTACAAGCTTTTGTACAACAAAGGAAACCATAAGCAGAACAAAAAGACAACCTATGG